CTTCTTTACACCTTTTATAAATTTATCGAGGGGTGTAAGACAAGGTTGTCCACTGTCAGCGCCCCTTTACGTACTGATTGCCGAATCTTTAGCGTGTCGTATCCGTGCGTCAATCTATTTAAGAGGTTTGGTTCTTCCGCACCCTGATTATGAACCAGCACTTATTTCCCAATACGCTGATTACACGACCCTGTTATGTACAGATGACGATGAAATATGCACTGTCTTCTCCATCTATGAGGAATATGAAAAGGCATCTGGGGCTAAGATTAATAAAGAGAAATCTAAAGGGCTTTGGGCAGGCTCTTGGAGATGCTTCGCGCTGCCATACGAAGGTTCAGSACTCGATGTCTGGAAGTATGGTTCTTTTTTGCAACGAATTAAAAAGTAAAATTATTAAAATTTTCACGTTTCCATAGCATGTGTTCAGTGTTCGGCTCAGTGAACAATAGATATCTATTGATTTTCTAGCGTGTAATTTGTAAATCTCTGACCCTTTTATAGGGGATGCCATTTTTGGAAATCACCGGCGCGTCTTCCATGTACAAGGAAATGATTCGCCTTTCTCGCCTTCTATATTGATACTAAGTCAGTGTTGGATTTTAAATCAGATGCTTTGTATCACAATGGGTTAAAAAGGGAAAATGAAAGACAAGATGGTTTAGTGCAGCCTTCTTTACAATTAGATGGCTACCAAAGAATCCTTAGCCAATAGACGGTGGAGCCGGTCGGGGCGGATACACTTGACGAAATTCTAAGTTTTCACGTGACTCCATCTCTTTATTACTTTTATTATTTTTATGATATTCTTAATAACAGGTTYATGAAAAGAATCTAGATGTCGGAAATCAAAGATGCCATTTGCCAGTTAATCGTCGGAAATTCCGGTCTAAAGCCAAGGCAAGGATATAATCCATTTTTCTCAACTTTCTACTGATATCAAGTATCTGATTTCAAATCAGATGCTTTATATCAGTATTAAGCTGAAAAAAGTACAAAACCAAGATGATTTAGAGTATGCAGCCCTTTTTGGAATTGTCCCTTTCCTATTTCCCAGCTACGCCATCTCGAAAGGAATCGGTAGAGCATTCAATTATTTCTGAAATACAACACGAGGAAGAAGGTTCATTATCTGGTCATATAGCCATGCAGGTACCAACCAAGCCCATTCTGTTCGTATTCAGATTTCACATTTAATATAGTCTCCTCCGCAACCGTTCTTAGGGAGCGTTGTGTGACGACACCTAGTACTGCTGTAGGGAAGACTGCGTTTAGTCCAATGAGCCACGTTTAGTATAGTCTCCTCCGCAGCCGTTCTTAGGGAGCGTTGTGTGACGATACTAAGACCTGCTGCAGGGATGACTGCGTTTAGTCGTCCAATGAGCTCCGTTTAGTATAGTCTCCTCCGCAGCCGGCTTTGGGAGCGTTGTGTGACGACTAGAGCTGCTGCAGGGAAGACTGCGTTTAGGCCAATGAGCCCCGTTTAGTATAGTCTACTCCGCAGCCGTTTTTAAGGAACGTTGTGTGACGATACTAAGAACTGCTTCAGGGAAGACCGCGTTTTGGCGCAGCTCTACGGAGTCGAACTGAAAGCATGTGAAGGCGCCTCTGGCAGCCGCTATACAGTCCATGTATCATCCCGGAGCACAGCTCTAACCAGTTTGAATTTGCATTAGTTAGGGTTTTTTTTACTCCGACGAAGGACTAGCGTCCGAAACGTCAGTAAGTTTTTTCATCTTTTCACGGTGTATAATTTACCTTTTCATCATTACTGTTTCATTAGAAACRCCGACGCAGCTCACACTAGTTTTTAGCTAGTTATATCTTCTTAGTTAGGGTTGATTTGAGAGGAGGGAGAAAAAACCGGATGACCGGATGACCGGAAAAACCTTCGGAGTCAGAAAGAGAAACAACCAACTCAGCTCACATGGGCCGGGGGACTGGAATGCGAACACTGGACCTCAGAGATGAGAGGCGAGCGTTTTACAGCTAATGTATTGATTAATGTAAGATTCATTTTAGCCTGACAAAGGAAGCGAGTTCTTTTTAGAAAAATTTATAATGACTTAAAAAATTCTGGTGCAGACCCAAGTACCCATTATTATCAGGCCTGTCAGGTTCAATATTTCACTAATTAAAAATGCTGCCTACTATAGAAAAAACAAACATGAAAAAGTTTTTGAATCGCTTATTTTTTAATGTAAATTTATTGCCAACAAGGTCGTTTATTCGAGATAATAGAGACCTTTACCATCAGGTTTTCCACTGACCACTAGGGATCAAGCCCAGAAACACGCTCGCAAAGGCGGAGAAACGCTCAGCATCAATGAAATTCAATATGGCTGCTCTTTCAGCAACAACTTCTTTTTGACTTGCTAAACGTTTGTTTAAAACGAGTGCAAAAAATGTACACCTACGTTGCGAACGAGCGTGCGCAGTAGCTTCATTTTTCAAGTATAGTAGGCAGCAACCTTAAGTCAAATATAGTGTACATATCAAAAATATGAAATAAAAACATCTTTAAGAACCTCTTCAGGCTGATATCTCACTACCCATCCTATATGTAATATTATTAAACTCATTAATAATACATGAAGAAAACACAACAGAAATCACGACCGTGAAGAGTTTCGTAAATCAGATACAGAATCCTGTTCATTTGCATAAACTTTAAGATGGATTTTCTTGGCCAGATTCACTTTTATCTTGAAAATTTTAGCGAAACACAAAGGAACTAACCTAGACGTTTGATAAGTAATCTATACAGTATTCGTGTCCGTGTTGTATCAGATATACAAACTCTCGGCTACGCCTCAATTTGTATATCGGATACAACACGCGCGGCCACTCATACTGTATAGATTACTTCTAACCACGGGTCCAATAGTCCCTTTTCTTATTTGGTAAATACCGCTGTGTTACATGACTAAAGGCTCATTATTCAAGAGTAAATATTTTGCCAAAGTCAATGTCAAAGTAAAGAGATGTGTGCAAGTTAAACAATACCAATGATTTGAAATCTCACGGACTCTTAATACTATTTGTTGAATAGCTGACTTATAAACGAGGCTAAACCTGTTCAAATGAGTCTGTAATCTTAAAAATTAGCGGTATGCATGGAACATAAAAATGGACTATTCTCGTATGCAGGTGTTTACGGCATGGCGTATTTTTTAAAGGCCGAAATTTAAGCGGCGAGAGGCAGCAAATTATCAACGCAGACCATCCGTGCTTCCTTCAGACTGTCTTAGCGAGTAAGCGTTTTTTCATGTAATACTGATCTGAGAGAAAATATAAGCCAATCAGAACCGAGAACATTTGCAAAACTGTGGTGTCACTTTTCCTCTTGAAACTAATAATTTCCAGCCCACCAAATAAAAAAAAACCTTGATAATAAGAGGTTTATAAAAGTAACACAATAACTAATAAGTTTTCCATTTTTATTGCAATGTTGGACAGGTTTTTATTTTTCGTTGGTCAATAGCGCAGCGCAACCGTGACGTCATAAAAACGTAGACAAAGGCGAAATTCGGACAAACAAACTTACAATTAAGTTTACTTTCAGCAGATTATTTTCACAGCCGATCGCAGTTGAGCTTAGTTTACATGGGTTATTATTGTAACTTTAAGTAAAAATAATAAAATCGGTTCGTATAATCCTCGTAGCGGTTAAACAGAATGCAATGTTTGTCCGAATCTTTAAGCTATTTTTAGAATCAATGCGCTGCGCTATTTTCACAAGCTCGTGACAAACCAGCTAGATGTAATGCTGATTCTGACGACATGCATGTCATAATTTAAAGATTCACCCGAAGGTAGGTGTAAAATACAATAGGACTGCAAGTCCCCTACTAAGGTATTTACACCAAAGATCCCAACCCCTAAAATATAATTGAATAGACCTATCTCGAATTCGCTTGACTGACCACGAAACAATGGTTT